CTATGAACGAGTTCATCATTATAATTATAATATATTTCTTTGTGATATTATAATTAGACCTTTTTGTGGTAATATTATAATTTTTAAAAAAAGGTAAAAAAAGCGCTAAGCGTGCATGCTTCTCGTGTGGAAACCACCATTTGGGCCGGTTTCACAAACGTCATTATTTATGGTAATCGGCCGTGGAGCTGATGACTAATTGCGTTTGCTGTTTGATGAAATTCTTTGTATATGATACATTCCAACCTAAGTTATAATGGCTTTATTCCCCTTCAAAAATTATTACATGAAAATCATATTACAAAATATATGTATCATCTGTATAAAAGATTTGATATCAACAATTGTGGCGCCAAGTTGTGGCGAGGCAGAGCGACACTTTTTTGCCAGATTCTTTCGTTTCATGCAAAAACGCGTCGAATTAAGCTGCTGGACACCAATCGCCCTAGACCGCCGACTGATTGCATTGATCACGACACTCATTTCTCCGACGGCAAACAAAATCCTAGACACTCATTTCCTCGAACACCTAGACACCCATTTCCTCGACGGCGAATACCTAGACACTCATTTCCTCGACAGCAAACACCTAGACTCCAACTTCCTCGACGGCGGACATCTAGACGCCCACTTCCTCGATGGCGAATGTAGACAACATCTAGAACACCCACTTCTTCGACGGCGAACACCTAGACACCCATTTCCTCGACGGCGAATACCTAGACATCCATTTCCCCAATAGCGAGCACCTAGACACCCACTTCTCGACGGCGATCACTCATTTCCTCGATGGCAAACACCTAGACACCAACTTCCTCGACGACGAACACCTAGACACCCACTTCCCCAATAGCAAACACCTAGACACCCACTTCCTCGATGGCGATCACCTAGACACCCACTTCCTCGACGACAAACATCTAGACGCTTAATTCCTCGACAGCGAACATCTAGACGCTTAATTCCTGAATATCTTTACACCCTCTTCCTCGACGTGGTAAATACCTATTATTGAAAGCCATTCCAGCACCAGCAGTTAAATATGGAGTTACGATGTCATATATTCCTATGTCGTAATATCTGTTTAACATCATCGCAACAGTAGAGATTTTCTGTGATACGTTATATTTTATAGGAGAACTGACACCAACATTTTGATCCCATGTTTGTTCGAAAGAATAATTTCTGCCAGATATATTGAAATCAGCTCTAAAATGATCACTAAATCTATACCCAAGTGCATCACCATAAATTATTGAACCCTTTCATGCTTTGTTATTATAGTGAGCAACAGGAATTTCACCTTTATCCGCACCAAGTGTCTTTGCGTCAGAAGTTTAGCGAAGAAGGAACAGAGAACCTGCTGTCAAGACGAAGGTAAAAATCTTTAGGTTTGTCTCCAGCAGATTTTTAGCCGAGAATAGATTAAAAATAGAAATAACAATCAGCAGCAAAGCCGATAATTCGCCATCTTTCAGGTAACATCTAAAATATACAATTTTAAATGGAAAAACACTCGGAATACTTGAGATATCACAAAGAAATTAGCAGAATGCTGCGCAGTAAATAAATCACTAAACACCTTGATCGAGGTCGTTTAAGATATAACAAGGAAAATAAACGAAAAATTGTAAGTATTATTATGATTATTAATCATATTTCTTACAAGTATGTTTCCATAAATAATATTCTTATAAGTTTTGTTTTTATATATGTCATTTGAATTCAATACTTAAATTATTTTTAGGATGAACTTTGGGAAAAATTATCTTCTTTAAACACATACACACACACACACACGCGCGCGCGCGCGCGCGCACACACACACACACACACACACACACATCAGCATATGGACCACAGCAAAGGAATGGGCTACGGTAATTTTTATTTCATTATGGGTGCATTCCGTTTCATGCTTGATATGCATAATGCATCACTTATCCTTCTTCAACATTCGGCGAACAACAAAGAGAAATGATGCATTATGCGCATTATGCGTGAAACGGAATGCACCCTATATAATATGTATGTTTTATCAGTGTACCGTTAATATATGAATTTTTGAGTAGAGATGTGCACACTATTCAAATACGAATAATTCGATTCGTATTCGAATAGTTTGTATGTACAATACATTTCTCTAATGGCAGATTTGACTTAAGTAAAGAGTTGTAATGTGATAGAATGCAAAAAAAGATCAAAATTAAAAAATTTCGTGATTTAGATTTCATAAAATGGTGTGTAAATCTACAATAGAGATGTGTAAATTATTCGAATACGAATTCGAATAGTTCGCACATCTATACTTTTAAGTTAACCTTTAAACTATGTGATTGTGTGAAATTATTATTTATTGCTTATCATCATATTTTTTATAGACATGGAGAGACTGGAAGGCTAATACCTTAAAAAAGGTTGCAAAACACAAGATCTACATGATGGGAACAGGTGGAGGATCACCAAAATATTTGCAGTTATCTGGATCAGAGAATGCCTTATTGAATTTTTTAACTCCAGACGCTAGTGGTTTAAGAGATATTTCAGAAGGTGGATTTATAGATATGACTCCAAGTTATGATAAAACTTCGAATTCATTTGCTTTATCATCTAGTATTGAAGAAAAAGAAGATAAAGTATTTTCACTTAATACTTGGAATGATACAATGATGGCATCACATGAAATGTATTCTTCTGAACAAAATACGCAGAATATGCAATCATGTATGTCATTAAATAGTAACATACATCCAATTGAAAATAATAAAAATGAGGTATATTTTACAAATTTTATTTAATTATCACCATTTTGTTAATTAAAAATATAAATTAGTAAATTTATTATATCTTCTTTTTAATTAATAAGATTCAATAAATAAAACACACACACATTCGCAACAAGATAATAAAATAAATAATTCTTTAAAACAGAAAAAGCGCTCTATTCAACAAAATACAAAAGTAAATAAATGTGAAACAAGTGTTTCATCATTACACAATATGAGGAGTATATACCAAATTAAAAATAAGGAAAATTGGGTATGTATATGAAATTTATTTAGGCACGCATTAATATATTATTTTTTATAAATATATAGATTAATGTATTGTAGATTTAACTTTATTGTATTTTACTTTACTATTTGCAGGAACAGGGCAAAACAACATGTGCGTTATCTTTAGATGATACAGAGAATTATATTGCAAATCATTCAAAAGGTATACAAAGTTTTTTTAATAAAATGTATTAATATCATTAAAATAAAATATGGGCTTCCACTATTCTAACAAATTGCTTGAAAACGTTAAAGAGGCATTAGTAGTCGGTGCAGACAACAGTGCGCAAAGTGTTAAATTGTTTTGATAGTTTACCGACATCAAAACTGTCGAAATGAAATACGAAATTCTCTGATATAATACATCAGAGAATTTTGTATTTGATTTCAATAGTTTTAATGTCGATAAACCAAAGTTATTTACTGTTAACACTGTTCACTGTTTTCCGCGCCGACTCCTAATGTCCCTTTAACGTTTTCAATTAATATCGTTGTTTTAATTACTGTTTTCAATTAATATCGTTGTTTTAATTAACGTTTTCAATTAATAGCGTTTTAATTAACTTTTTTAAATATTATTTAGATGTCAAAAAGCCACGGCTTATGGAAACAGCCGTTAATTTATTAGAAAAGAAATCAGCAACATCCGAGAATACTAAACAAAAAATTTTAGAATTAAAACAGGAAAAAATAAAATTAAAAAAAGAAGAATTAATTGTTTTTAAACAAATTCTACAGCAACTACAGAATACGAATGACCTCATATCGTCTATGAAGGAAGAAATATTAGGACAATACCTGACAACAGATCTTGAATAAACAAAAATATATATTATGCAAGTTACCAAAGATAAGTACATGCATTCTGTGATATATGCATCGTACATTTTTATTTCTTCATATACACTAAGTATAAGTTTATAAATTACTAAGTATAATTTATTAATTTGTTTGGTTTCAAAAAAATGTTATGTTTTTTACTATGATCATATCTCAAGTTTAAGTTTAGTTGAGATTGTTGAGGTTTATGATTTTATGATCTAATTGATGGATGTTAAAAATAATTATATTAATATATTTAATATTATGATTATGTACAGCCTTGGCCAAAATCATTAGCCATTATTAACAATTATTTAAAGTTTTAGCTCAACATATGTAAGTGTGTAATATTTTGGCCAAAGCTATATATACATATGTATGTATATGCGTAACTCATGTAGCACATGTTTAAACTTGCGATGGTGCTACAAATTATAACTTTACTTTTTGCGAATAACATCGTCAAAATGATTTTGTAATTTTATAGAACACAAGAAACATATGATTAATAAAAAAATTGATGTGTTTTAAATTAGTGATAACTGTAATTTATTGCTTGTTTGCATATGTACAACAATAAAGTATGTCACTAGCAAAATTTACGAATACTTCATTTAGTCTCTTGTAAATACGTTAAAAAATGTAATCTTTTATAGTCGTGTGCAGCTCGAGAGATTACATTCGCATCTGGAACATAAAATTTGTTGTATTGAATGTTTAAGGTACCCAAATGTTAATTTAACATAACATAATTATGACATTTGAATATTTTGTATTAAATTAATATCTAATTTTTTAATTTTTAGTGTTCAAATAAAGTAATAGTTTAAAATTTTTTATTTTGTAGTATTAAAGTAACATAATTTATGAGTAAGTAAACAAATAACATAAAAATAATAAGTTTAAAATGTAAATTCTAAGATAAGTGAACAAATAAACTCTAAGATAAATATACAAGTTAACTTTTATTATCTTTAAAAACAAATCTCTAGCTATTTATCAACTATTGATGTTTATGCACAAGAATCTTTGTTTCAGAAGTTAATTGAGAACTTTTAACATTTGATGTACATATTAATTATGAAAATATTAAAAAATGAAAGGAAACGCAACATACCTCGTCTATTCGGTAAAATACCATCGAACAACATCCCGTCGTATTTGTTCAGCATTATTTACATCAATGTCACCATACGGTATTGGTGCTTGTCGATCTATTTCATCTAAATAAATTTCATTTGTTGGAATTCTCCATTTTACAGCAATATTGTGTAGAACACAACATGCATTTACAATACGAGCTAGAAAAGAGAAAAGTATTATAATAAATACTAAAGAACATTATATTTTTTAATAATGTTTTTATATTATATTACATATAAAAATTGTGTTTAATACCTGCAAATTCCGGCTGATAATGCAATGCCCTCTCTTTTCGCAAGCATCGCCATTGGCCTTTCAAAACACCTATACCTCTTTCTGCAGAAGATCGTGCTTTTGTAAAATGTTCTGTGTATCTAAACTCTGGAGAGCCCAAAGGTGCGTTTATAAATGGTTTTAAAAGATAAGGCTTAAGCGGGTATGCGGAATCTCCTAAAAAGAATATTAAAATACACAATATACGACTCAAATGACCAAATGGCCTGCGAAGTTGTCATGTTATTAGCAATCATTTCAATACCAAGATAAACTAACATTTATATAATTTAAAATTACGAATGTTGTTGATTAATATAAACATAATGTAAATATAGTATTAACATAGTGTCAATATATACATATATATATAACATCAAATTATTAGCCATACCTATAAGCCATGATCCTCTTTCGCCTGCTTCCTGTTGTTCTTCTAAATAATGGAGCAAACGTGAAGAACGGAAGACTCTGGAGTCATGTGTTCTTCCACCATGCATTGCATTTACTGCTAATATTTCGTTATTATAAGAACAAACCTATAAAGAGGATAGAAAAACATTATAAATATGTACAAATTATGTATTATTAAAATTGTATTTCTTACGGCATTAATTATTTTTATACTTACAATCATCACATTCAATGAATGATATTGTTTTCTATTAATAAAAAGGTGTTCTCGTTCAGTTTGTGGTGGAAAGATGGCAATATGAGTTCCGTCTATAGCGCCAATCACTCCTGGGAATCCAGTATTTTCAAAAAACCTGATGTAAAAAATCAAATTAGATTGTAGAAATTTTTTTCCAACTTTACGTATATTACCTACTCTTGTTTAATTTCTTGTTTTCTTCTATCTGTTGTTGGAAATTGGATGCAATGTCCCATAATATTGTTTAATGCATTTACAGTAGCATGAATAGAACGGAGATGGAGGTTTGACTCATGCATGATAAAAAATCCTGTCCTATTTTTCTTTGATATGAACCAGATGCTAGGAAATGAAGTATTGCAAATACCTATAATAAAATCATAACAATTAAAACACAAATAAAGAATAGAAAAGAAAATTTAAAGAAAAAATAACAATTTACTTGTAAATGTTGAGGAATTACTGTTTTTCGTTGCGGAACTGGCATAAAATTTTTCAATTCTTCAATTAATTGTACAGTTGCCGCTTTAGATAATCTGAAACATACAAATATTGCATAATGTACAATATACAACTTTTTATAGCATACCCAATAATATAACATTATTATATAACAAATTTTTATTAACAAATTTTATATATAATATGCTGATTATATATATTAAATAAGATATTCTACTTACAATAACAAAAATAAATTATTAGCGAATAATTACTAACTATAAAAGAAATAAAAAAAATTAAAAATAGAAGTTAAATATAACGAACAATGAATATAATAAATAAGACATACCACATATTTATACTTCTTACATCTTATTTGTATCCATTACAAACATATGTAGAGCCCGATTGTAATTTAAAACAAAATATAATTTTCTTTTATCTAATACGTACCTATATAATTTGAGAAATGTGTTATCTGAAACATCAAATGGATTTTGTGTATCTCTTAAACTTCTCCTTATTATATTTATATTTTTTTGCCGACGTCTATTTATATCTCTCTCCTCTTCCATCAATAATGCAACAATTAAATCCATTATATTAATGTCGATGTATACTATAACCAATACGATGCAAATTTCCGCAATTTCGACACAATTCGGCGCAATTTGACTGAATTCGACATCTAAGTTCTTGTCGAGCAATGTCACGTGAAAAATACCACATTTTCACTATAGTGAAATTTAGCTAATCAAGTGAAAGCTCACTTTTATGAATTTCACTAGGTTTCAAGATACACAATCGATCCCCTGGTCGACGACGACAATAATAATAACGACGTATCTGAATCTGATGATCTGAAAAGTAGCAGTTCGGAACTTTGCGTTGCGATATCTCCGCTCGTAGGGCACGTAGAAAAAAAATAAAACCACTTTTATCATACAATCCGTGTGGTGGCTATCGATTGAGCATACATAGAACACGATCGG